TATAGTCACAAGAACTCAGTTTCAAGAGAGACCTGTTTGGGAGCAGATGGTGGGGGTTAAGGGCCTTGCTCAAGGGTCCAAAGTGGGGCAAATGAGGGTGGAGGCAGGTGTGGGTGTTTCACCTTTTCCACCCACATTTTGATGTTGTCAGTCCAGGGAGTTGAACCTGCAACTTTCCGATCACAGGCCCATCTTCTCTAACCTCTTCACCACCACTCCCCACATGTGCCAATGTCTCTTAAGTTTGTATTTTAGTAAAAAAAAAAAAATTCAGCTGTGGGTGTTTTGAAATTTTTTGTGTCCCTCAACGCTGTATGCTGTTGTTGTTTAATACACAAATACACAACACAAAAATGCAAATAAACAAATATTTGGAAAATGTCATAAAGTAAAGAAAAGCAAGTAAAGACTTGAACCTTTTGACTTTGTTTTTCTTGCTCTTTTCGTGTTTTGCATTCCTCCTCCATGGCTTTTTTCTCACCACTTGTCTTCTCATCCTTTTGAGTTGAAACCCTGAAGAAGATTTTAAAAAGTCAAAGCAGCTAAACAAGTTTCTGATAGTTACTACTGCGCATGCTCAGTGTCAGTATTTTGCACCCGTGTTTCAGCTGCGCTTTGAGCTCATATTGGGAGGACCTTTCACTATCACAAGCTAAAATGCCAGTGAAACAAATTTATATGTACGTTTGTATACATAAGTCAATTAAAAAAATATATTGTTAAGGACCAAAACAGTACTTGCACACTGACCATAGTTGAAAAACCTATACAGCAAATCTATTTGGGGTAAAGTGCACGAATACGCATGCGCATTAGTATCAGTAAAACGAGCAGTTAAGCAAAGCCGCTTATCTTTGCAATCTTAAAATTATTTTCGTTAGGAACTCTAACTTGTCAATGCTAAGCTAAAGGAAGCTAACCAATAACTTTACCTGTTTGTGCCATCTTTATCGGACAACACTGGTGGTTCTGGTTCTTCCTTAGCCACTTCCATACTGGCAAAATGTTCGATAAGAGCTACTGAGAAACTGAACCGTTGTAACGAGTCTCCACGAGCTGTCTGTCTGCTTGGTACGCGTTGCTATGGCGACAGAGCAACAAGAGGGCATCGAGTGATGCCTTCAAGGACCCTCGTAAACTGGACAAGATGCAAGGGAGGCTAATGGAAGTTTTTTTTTTTTTTTTTTTTTTTTGCAGTTCATGATCTTATCGCTTTTCGTACATGAATGAGATCACAATAACATGAAGGACAAGATTTAAGAAATAATACTGCAGCAAACTACGGATATGATCCATGTTGTTGTTACTACAAAGTTTCAGAATACTTACTGATATTTGTAAGATTTGTGTAGATATTTTCATTTCTGTTTTTAATGAGATGCAGTGATCATCTAACGGTGTAGCCATAAAAAAAAAGAATATTTGTCAGTGCACATTGCTGCACAAAAAACGAGCTTTGTCATGTGTCATGTATCATTTATCATGCCACAAAAACAACCCAATTCCCAGTGTGCTTTTTTTTTCTCTGATTTGATCTGTTTGCAATTGTGTACATAATATAGGTCATTTTTGTCACAAAAAAGCTTTTTTTGTATCTGTAGAGAACTGATTTCTAAGTAGTATGTGTGTTGTACATCACTTTAATTAATTAATTAATTAATCAATACAAAATTGTCATTCATTCAACCTTTATTTATACAGGTAAGGCCAACTGAGTCAGGGCTCATTTTCAAGAGAAACCTGTTTTAGACAGACGACATATAAAGTACAAAAAAACAATAAATAACAATAAAATGCCATTTAAATAAAAAGTAGTGTTTATAAATCAATAAAATCAAGGTGCCGTTATAAGTTATTAAGCGTGTTAAAGATAATCAAGGCATAGTGACATTAAAAAACTGCTGTACAATACATGGCTCATTGCTGCCATCTAGTGGCAATATAAAGTTTCTAAACATGCAGGTGGCAAAGGGATTTCCCTTAAAATGTCAAATAATAAATATTTCTTAACTTGGGTAAGTTATTTACATTACAGTATTAATGGTATATTTCAAAGCAATGGGTATTTTTTTCAGCTGTTCCTTTCTTCAGGGATCATAACAGCGAGCAAACCTGCAAACGAATTTGGCAATTGTTTTAAGCCAGATGTTTTTTGTGATGGAACCTGGGCTCAGACCTGCAGCCTCAACATTATGTGATCACAGCACAGATCACTGAGCAATCACAGCCCAGATACAAACATCTTATGTTTCTTAAAATAGTGTATACATCAATATTTAGTACCACAATAATCTGCCCCTGAGCACTTGCTTTTAAAAAACATAAAACTGACTTGAGGTGGCACTGCAACTCTGATCATAAGCACTGCAAAAACTAGTTGCTTCAGCAGAAGCAGCACAGGGACAAACACAAAGACTCACACGTGCATAATCTGAATCACTTAAATACACCACAAGAAGGAAAAATGTCTCCTCAAGCTGATAGCAAGATGGGGACAAACAAATAAACTCCCACATGGGTCAGATGTTCCTGCCCTGAAGAGCTACCCCCACCTTTGTTCACCCTAACCTCCTGGGGGGATCTCACCGCTCTTTTGCCCTCAAGTGGACTTGGCCGCTGCTGTATGGAGGACTGCTGAGCCATAAGGGACACAGGTCAGCCCAAAGGTTTCTGACATATGATCCAGCATCTGTGATGTCACCAACAGCTGACTTGTCATAAGACCTTTGAGAACAGAAGGAAGTGGAATGGGGGGGGGGGGGGGGTGTGTCTTTAGACCTCTTTGCCAGAGCGCTTAGTGCTTTTTGCATCAAGCAGCTGAGATTACAAACTGAATGACTGTGTGAGAGTGATTCCATAATCTTTTTAACACCATAAACCGGAGTTTAAAAGACTTTGACCCTGCTCACAGGTGTAAAATAAGTCTTATTAATTCTGAGCATGCCCTGTGTGTTTGTGTGTGGTGGTGGTGGGGGGGGGGGGGGTTCCAACTGCAGGCCCGTATGTTTATTCCTTCAACAAAGCATCATATTCATCGCTTTGGGGTTACAGGTGCATAATCTAAGCCGGACCTTTAGCCACTTACCTGACAGCTTAGAGTACAGATGGTGGACGTTGCACAACATTGGAAGTGCTAAAAGTTTCTTCACAAACTGGACAATTTTCTGCATTGGAACACTGGACATACTTTAAAGCAGCTGTCCCCAACAGTTTTTGAACCACAGATTGGTTTCATATTTTTCATTTAACCTTTATTTATACAGGTTAGCCTCACCGAGATACGAGGACTCATTTTCAAGAGGGACTAAACCACAGATAAGGTACACACAACAATAAACAACAATAGAATGCAAATACTGTAAAGTAAAAATAAAAAGCAGTGTTGTAAAACCAAACCTAAATCAAGGTGCTATACAAAACAAGGCAAAAGTACAAATAAACTAAAAACAGGAACATGTTTGCTTTGACTTTTCTATTGAACTTATCAGATGTTTTAAAATCCAAAATTAGTAAAAGAGTAGCTAAAAGTTAAACTTTGTAGAATAGTAGATAAAAAAACAGCAAAACAGTAGCTAAAAGATAGTTAGCTAAACAGGAGCTAAAAGCTTAAAACAGCAGAATAGTTGCTAAAACCTAAAATTAGTATAATAGCAAACTAAACAACCAAAACAATAGCTAAAAGTTGCCAAATATTATCTAAAACAAGCAGAATGATAGCTAAAAAATTTAATTCAGCAGATAGAAGACAAATTATCAAAAAGGCAGCTGAAAGCAAACATCATCAAAACCATTGCTACAACTTAGAACTATAGCAGAACAATAGCTAAAAGCTAAAATGTGTCAGAGTAAAATTATGGATTTAAAAGAGAACAAAGTTTTTCTAGGCTTTGAAAAGATCTGAACACGTTTCTGCAGGAAAAAATGTAAATGTCTGTAAATAATTCATACAATATAAAGGTTTTAAATACCAAAATCACTTGCAATGTCTTGAACAAGCTGAATGTTTTCATATGAAAAAGGCTTAAATAGCTGTAAATATGTTGAAGATGTCAAAAGTCCAAAGGAAAAAATCATAAGATACTATAAACAGGAAAACAATGGTGTGAACGCTGACTCAGCATTTACACAAATAACTGACTGAGGCAAGCACAGGAACAATGAGCAAACAAAAGAAGTAATTTTTCTACAAAACGTCCTCATATAAAAATATTTAAATAGATTTTTGTTAAACAGCTTTTGTGTCCCAGTAGCAAATAGTCCAATGACAGGTCTGGTCCTTGGCCCAGAGGTTGGAAACGTCTGCTTTAAAGAATACAAAAGACTGGAGGGTGATTGCAGAGGACAGCTGAAAATACAGAGGCATTTAGTCTCGAGGAGGCAATGACCCTGTCAAAAAAAATGTAAAAAAAACGACAAAATATTTATTAAATGGGATTTAATAAATGAAAACAGAAAGTTTGGTACAAATAAGTACAGCATCCTTCTGCTACTTCAAGCATAGCCTTGTTTCAAGGTAGTTTGAGCCAAAGGATGTTTTTTAAATTTCCCATCTGCAAACAGGAGCATAAGAAAACATTTGTCTCTAAATCTTTAACCGCATCACTGTAACTTTAAACCTTAATGTGAGAAAAAGCAGCCTTAAGCATGCAAAAATACAAAGGAGCTACAGCCAGGAGATTAAAATGCATCTGCATGTTGAATGTCTAGTTCTTGTTGAAGATAAAACCAGCTCAAGGCCTGTGCAGAAAAAGCCTCTTATGCCTTTTTCACTCATTTTCAGGAACTTGCATCGTTTTTTCGGTTTGATGTTAAATTTCAACAATCAGCTCAGCTTTAGCCATCAGAGTTCCCTCCTGAGCTTTAAATAAGCCCAGTCAACACATTTTCTTAAAACAAATAGGCATTTTATGGTCTATAAGGATGTATTCATGATTTTTTTTTGTGTGCACAAAATGGATTTTGTTTTTATCAGCAACTACTCTAGTTGAAGAAGGCTGTTACTAATCACCGACTTAAATGAATAAAAAGCTGGAATTTAGATGCATCACTTTCAGACCAATGCCATTTAGGTGAAATGCAGTAAGTGCATCGATTTCAGGATTAGCACTATGCTATAACTTAATCTGCACAAGCCATGTTTGTAAATTAATGTATGGTTTTTGCACATTTTGCTGGTTGTTTTCGCCGTTCTTGTTTGTTTTGTGAGGTGCAGCACTTAAAAAAAAAAAAAATTGTAGTCCATGTAAAACCAGGTAAAGTCCAAATCAGGATACAAGTCTTTTTTTTTTTAAATCACAAGTTCTTTTGACAACAATCACCACACTTACAGAGGAGTTATTCTTGTTCTCAGTCTTTGCTAATCAGAGCTCTTTGTGAGTGGATTAGTTGTATAATAATAATTTGGATGGTATTAGACTATAATTAGTGTTGTTTTTTTCATGTATTAAAGTTAGTTTAGCAACAATGCTTCCTCCGTAATCAGACTGTTATAATATATCAATAAAAATTATGATGCCTTCGTTTCCACTCAGCATTGTGAAAGACAAACATCCAGTTAAGGGGACAATTTATCCATTATCTTTACCTGATTGTTCCTTTATGGGCTGTGGGGGTCACTGGTGCTCATATCCTGCAGTCACTGTGCAAGAGGTGGGGGACAGGTCGCAAGGTCATCACAGGGACACACAGAGGCATGTTTTTGGTTTGTGGGGGGAAACCATTCTTGCATGCAAGGAGAGAACATGCAAACTCCACACAGAAAGGCCCCTATTAGGAACTGACGGATCCAAATATTACTTCAAGTATCAAGTCTTTTTCTAAGTCCATCAGAAGTCTCCATCACGTGTCAGCATTTACTGCTTTATCCCTACGCTGGAGGTTTTCTTGACTTTCACCCCCTGCTTACAGAGCCGGTGTGCCTCCGGTAAGCAGCGAGGCTTAACGGGAATCAAAGCTGTCATTCTTGAGAGCACAGCTCAACACACTTCTGTCCAGCACTGCAAAAGCCTGAGTGTTCAGCCACTCTGCTGGCAGCAGCTGCATCATATGCTGGCAGCAGCTGCATCATATGACTCTGCATGTCTGTTAATACTCCTATAATGACTGGCCATGGCTGCACGCCATAAGACCAAAAAGCCAAAGGAGTTTAACGGATATGTTGCTGCGATTATTCGGCCAAGTATCTTTATCCCACATTCAGATTAGCAGCTAATGACGAAAGAGTAAAAAAAGGTTGGTTGCAAGAAACTCAAGGCCACCTGAGGGAAGAAAGCTCAAAGTCCAACTGAAGAAATTACATTTCCTGAGAAAATGCAATGTGAATGCTTATTGCAGAAGAACTTGCTGAAAAACAGCTGAAATTAGCTATAAAATATGCTGAAATGTAGCTGAAATGAAAGAACAAGCCTAAATTAGCAGAAGAAAGTAGAAAGAACAGGTTTGATGAATTAGGTTTAAAAAGCAGAAATGAGCATTAAAAAATAGGAAATCAGCTAAAAAAAAAAGATTAAATTAGCACCAAAGAAAACGTCTAAAAAGTAGCCGAAAACGCAGAAAGAAGCTTAACATACAAGAAGGAAGTGGAAACAGCTGAAAGGAGCTAAAAAATGTGGAATTAGCTGAAAAAGCTAAAATATGCATACAAACGGCAAATAGCTGAAATAGCAGAAAAAGCTGACACTATCTGAAACAAGCGGAAAGTGGCCTAGCTGAAATGATCAAAAAGAATTAGGCTGAAAGTAGCAGAAATTACATGAAAAACTTGAATTTATCTGAAAACAGCTGAAATTACCTATAAAAAATTTCTAAAAACCTTGTTGAAAAGGTAAAACAAGCTTAAATTAGCAGAAGAAGAACATGTTTGGCCATTTAGGCTGAAAGAAGCAGAAATAAGCAGAAAATGTAGAAATTATCTGAAAAAGTTGAAATTAGCAAAAAGCATCTGAAAAGTAGCTAAAAAGGCAGAAAAAAGCTGAAATTACAAGAAGGAAATGGAGAGAACATTTTTGCTGAATTAGGCTGAAAAAAGTTTAAATGAGTGCAAAAAATGCGGAATTAGCTGAAAAACCTTAAAGTAGCATAAAAACAGCTAAAGTAGCTAAAATAGAAAAAGCTGAAGCTTGCAAAAATAAGCTGAATGGAGCATAACAAGCTGAAATTAGCAGAAAGATGTTAGATGAAACACAAAAATGTTGTACTGGTAGTTAGCAGAAAGAACCTGAAAGGTTCACAAAAAACAGCTGAAAATGGCTGAAAAAATACATCGATTTGCACATGGAAGCTGAAAGAATTTGAACCAGAACAAAACATGAAAGGAGCAGTAAAATGTTTTAAACTGATTTAAAGATACGAAGGATGTAAAATGAGATTTTCTATGAGGACAAAATGGCAGAAAAGGCTAAATATTTCAAAAATGTAAGTTGCATCAACACAAAAGTCATAGCAAGAATGTCCTGAAAGAGCTGAATGTTTTGATTTATAATTTGTTGAAATAGCTCGAAAACTGCGGGACGAGAATCGCGTCAAAAGACGTACAGAAGAAAAATGGATCACAATAGTGTGAATGCTTCATAAACATTCACACAATAAAACATAAAGGTCTGCTGTCACAGTGCAGCAGCGTAAAAACTTCATCAATATTACACGCGACATTTAAATCATTACCGCTCAAAACGATGTTTGCACTTAAATTAAAACACGAGCGACCGCACCTTGTTCATAATACTAAATGATTTATTTGCATTCAAAATAAAGATTGACATTACTCCAGAGCACATTTATCAGCCCGCTCACTCCTAGAAAAGATTTTACACAGAACGCTTAACAAATTAAGTTAAATATCAGTGGAAAATGACAACGAAACACATTAAAAGCTTTATGCAACCGCAAAAAAAAGAAAGAAAGAAAGAAAAAACTAACTGGAAAACAGGTAACATCACAGTGTGGTACTTTGGAGTGCTCTTACATTGTGTGTAATGTCTTTATTTACTCCCCCACAGCAGCAGTGTGCACCCCTCCTTCTTACAGCAGTTACATGTCACCACTAATGGACATCAAGTGCTTCCTTTTTGCAGCTCTCTTCTGGACATACATTAGAGACAGAAAACCCATTTCTCCATCCATAAATAGAGCATATACGAACACACACACGCACACACGCACACACACACACACTGCATTCAAAGCAGTCGCTCTACAGTGACAGCAGGATGTGGTTAACAACCTGTAGATAGTTAACAAGTTAGAACAGGATGGAAAGGCCAACCTGGAAAAATACTGTGCAGAAATATTAACATCTATCTGATTAGTAATTTGTAAAGTTAGAGGCATGGTGATTCCAAAAACAAAACCTGCTTCTATAAATAATTGTGCAAGTTTAAACTTAATTAACTTAAACACAATGATAAGATCTTCAAGAAAATCTCATTTGCACACATTTCAGTTTAAAGTTTCCTAATGTGTCCGAATTCAGAGAATTAAATAGGAAAATTTGCATAACTCTCCATCATTATAAATTCAAAATTGGATACACAATTATTATAAATTACTTTTAATCTATAATAAACAAACAAAAAGCTTCCCGGTGATAAACAATTTTCTTATCTGACTTTGAAGACAGAAACGTTGAGAAATACCCTTGAAATGACGTTAATGAACCCCAAACCTGTTTAGTGCATTATGAAGTGGTTTTATGAAAAGATACTTTGAACACTGATCAAGATGAACTGCTGTCGAGTCCTTTACGTAAAAGCCCTCAGGAATAAGGTGGTGCGATGGCATAAAGAACGTTCAATCCTCCTCAGCTCTGTTTGTCCTGAATGTGGATCAGATTGGTGGAGGACTTTGCTCGCTTGGCTGAAAAGAGAGAGAACAATAAATTTCTGAAGAGATCAGAAGTTTGTGAAAATAACGCAAATTAAGTTTGTGACTGATGCAACTCAATTTATTGTTGCACAAGTTGTTTGTGCATTATTCAAAAGCACAAAAAGTCACTCTGTCCATAATGATAGAGGAAGCCCACCCAGTGCCCAGAGGGGCACCAGTATTAACAGTATCATTTTCAATATTAAAACTTGGATTGGAAAGAAAATGATAAAGACCAGTTTCTTGCTGCTTTGACCTTATAACCATATCGACTATGGCTGGGAGAACTTGTATTTTAGAAGAAGATAAAACAAACATAACTGACTGACTCAGAATCAGGTACTGGATCAGATCCATTATGCTTCACATTAGTACAAAAGTGCAGAACTTAAAGCCATGAGAAAACTGGAAAGGTAATGAAGAGTGCTACTTAGCTAGGGGAATGGTTGTGTAGCATGCAAAATGTTGTGCAGAGCAAAAACAAGAATTTATTTTTAAGCCCATGTGACCATGTTGACAAAGAACCACAGTCACGTTGAACAGAGTAAAATCCCAATGCTTAGTAAAATAATGACCAAATTTATATTTGTAAACCTGCAACTGGTTCATTTTCATACATTATTTAAATCATTCCTTAATTAATCAACAACTGTTGCTTCTAAACCATCAAAACCAGTACTGGACTCAACTCCTTAAACATTCTTAGTGGAATGACTCTTTCTTACCACCAAGTTCAGTCAGATTAATGTATCAATGAGCCAAGTACCACACGATTTGTAGGTTGCTATTATCCAACAAACTCATATCTCATCTGGAAGTTTTAGCCAATTATAGATTTACATCCAACCTTTTTAAAAGCCTGAGTCACCCAAAATTTTGCTTTAAAACAAATAATTGCCCCTTTAAACAACATCTGCATGTGATGTGACCCCATGTTAAAAATGTTAACGTTACAAGAACAACTTTCCTCCACCTGTGTAATATATTTTCCTAACAGAGTACTTGGCTTTCAGACTGCAGGTTTACTTGTGGTTCCTAGAGTTTCCAAAAGCAGAATGGGAGGCAGAGCGTTCAGTTATCAGGCTCCTCTCTTGTGGAACCAACTTCCAGTTTCTGTCCGTGAGGCTGACACATTGTCTATTTGTAAGATTAGACTTAAGTCTTTCCTTTTTGATAAATCATGTAGTTAGTGTTAATTTGGGTTTCCTGAGCTATCCCTTAGTTATGCTGCTATAGGCTTAGACTGCTGGAGGACAAACTGACCACATTTCCTCACTCTGCTTCTGTCTTTACTTGCTCTACCTGTTTTGTATTTATTATTTCTATCCTTAACAGTTTTTTTTCTCTTTCCTCCAACTGAAAGATCACCTGGACCTGCCATTCTGTGTTCGTTTCTGCTTCCCGTCTTCTCCAACCCCAGCCGGTCGAAGCAGATGGCCACTCGTCCTGAGCCTGGTTCTGCTGGAGGTTTCGTCCTTTTAAAAAGGGAGTTTTTCCTTTCCACTGTTGCTACTGTGCTTACTCAGGATGGGAGACTGTGACGAAGTGAAGATTCAACACAATCTGCTGCTTCCTGAGATAGATGACTTTTACTAAATGGCTCTTTATATGTATGTGAATGTTTCTGTGCAGTGCCCTGAGACGACTTCTGTTGTGACTTGATGCTATAGAAATAAAGTAAATTGAATTGAATCTGTATTACTTAAAGGATAAATATTGTCGCAGCAGATTAGACCTGGTACATTTAGGCTGTATGTGGTATTAATGTGTCTTTTGTAGAAGGAATTGATATCCTACATGTCTTACTATAAAATATCTCCTTTTCCAAAATCTAGATTTAATTAATAAATATTCATAGTTAGTTACATCATTTACACAAACAAAACTGATGAACACAGTCTAAGCTTACTTATCTGCACCTTTTTATTATTATTTCTTAAATATATTTAAATCTGTAAACTAAACATCAGATTAAATCCTTATAATATAAAGACAAAAAATGAACCTATAAAATAAGGATACCTTTGGAAGTACAGGACTGCTGATTCTTTGATGCAAATAACACCAATAAAATATATTTTATTTAACTTTAGTCAGTTGGCATTCCTACACATCTGCACGGTACGGTTTAGCTCATTTATTATCATCATTGCATTACTTCAATCACTTGTAAATAATAAATATGCTAGAAATAGGCAGCCAAAACACGTGCCTCAAAAATTATTTTTAATCTGAGAAGTTATTTTCAGATTATTTAAAGTCATTCACTCACACACACAAGCATAATGCATAAATCCTTAAACCTCCATTATCCATCACAGTCCATCAAACCCCCTCTCTTGACAAAGACCTCAATCCCTGTCAAAAAAAATCTGTGTGTGTGTGTGTGTGTGTGTGTGTGTGTGTGTGTGTGTGTGCGTATGTGTGTGTGTGTGTGTTAATGGGTGAATTAAGCTGGTTACTCACGGTGTATGAGCTTGCGTTTCTTTTGTTCAGAGTGAAGGAAGTTGCTCAAGTAGAAGATGATGGGCAGAAAGAGCATGAAGCTGGACACAGCGATGACAGGCACCGTCTCCTCGCGGGGGAAGGAACAGTTGAAGGTTTTACTCCAAAGCCTGCGGGTCATATTCATCTGAAACAAGGCGATGATTCAGTCAAAACTCAAACGTTAGAAAAAAAAATAAAATTGTTGTACACATCTCCATTCCTGACTTACGTACCGCATCCTCTAAGTCAATACACAGAGTTTGGTTCTGCTCCTTTTGGCCGTACAGGTCATTCAGGCTCTTGTATAAGCTTTTACAGTTGGTGCACAGATCTGTCAGGTTTCCCTGCATGGAAAAGTGAAAGACAGCCGTCAAGGGTTAATTTCATAAATAAATAAATCTCATCGACAGATGTCAACACACAGTCATCATACCTGTTTATACTTCTCAAAACAAGTGATAGTTTGATTGAGAATGTCCAAAAAGTGCAGCGTATCATTGCTCAGGCTCTGGTACCCATCAGAGACACAGTCTGCACAAGAGGAGGAAAATATATCAATTGGATAAACAGCTGAAAGGTGCCTAATGTTACTGTATGGAATGGAATTAGTCCTTTTGGTAGTTGAAAGCGGTTGTGCCCTAAATGACCCAAAAATGAAATAAACTACTTGGAAGAAAAATGCAAAATGTCAAATTTCAAAGAAAAGGATGCTAAAACTATTCATTATTCATTTGATGTTCAAACAAATCCATGGTGTATCCCAAATACCTCAATTCTTACATATATTCTTAACAATTCACAGACTTTCTAAGTTCATAATGATAGTTAAAATGAATTTATTAAGGACCTGGACTGTGGTTGTGGAAAACTCAAAGACAAGATCTGTAATTTTTATTTTTTTTTGGAAGAAATGCATATAGCAAACAGTCGTAAATTCTTATGTTTTAAACTAATATTATTTATCAAAATGACAGCGTTATGGTCGTTTTGGTCTAACTTTGCAAATGACGTTATACAAGATCTCACATTCAGAGTATGTGTTGGGAATGACTCTCTGCTACTACAACATTAAATTGTACATCAATATCTCTAACATTTACCTAGTTATAGCCATTTTTGTGTTGGCTAAGCTTAGGCCTGTCGCAATAAACAATAAATCAATTAATCGCACAATAAATGAAAATTATCGACCTCATTTTCATTTATCCGCTTTATCGTTTCTTCGTGTCTCTCTCTTTCTACTGAAGACACTGGATGACAAAAGGCTCAACTCCGGTGCTTTTCATTGACCCCTCCCTTTCTCTTGTTTTCTCTTTTCTTTAAAATCTGTTTTAATCATCCAAAATTGCATTTTTGGATCGTTAAAGCAGCTAAGCTGAGAAGCTAAGCTAGTAGCTAAGCTAACAGGCCGACCTCGGGAAAAAACCTCTGTCTTGTCGAGCTCCAAAATTCACGGTTGAAACCTGTGCCTTCGAGTAAAAAGTTGTTTTTTTCTCTACAACAAGAAGCTGAGAACTTGTTTACTGATTTTATTAAAAGCTTTGTGTGAAAAATGCTATGCTAAAGAGCTCAAACCACACCGAGCGTCCGCCATTTTGAGAACCAAAAAAAAAGGAAAGAGAGACAGCCCATGTCACATCAAGGGGCCTCCCTGCCATTTTTCTTGACGAGACACGCTGCTCGCTCCCTCACTATCCATCCTTTGGTTCAAACTGTCTTAAACTGCCATCCAGTGGTCAAAAAAGGTAATACAACAAAATAAATTAACCAACATTTCTTATTAAATTTCACAATAATTATAAATTATTGTCAAATTTCAAACAATATTATCGTTTATCGCAATAATTTCTGAGACAATTAATCGCCTAGCAAAATGTGTTATCGTGACAGGCCTAGCTAAGCTTGACTAGCTGTGACAGCCTTGAACTAGACTAACTCCAATAACAACTTTCTGAAGATTTCAATAAAATCCATCCAGTGGTTCATGAGATATTTTGCTAACAGACAAAAGCATTGGTTGACACTAACAGTTAATGGTGAAATTTTAAGCAAGAGGTCTTGCACAATGTGTTAGCACTCAGAGGATGACTTAGGGTGTTTCTCAGCTACTACCACACCAAATCTTAGCTAAATCTCTGGAAAATTAAAAGTTTGAAGATTAAAAATCAGCTTGTAGGTCAGATGCATATGATGAAGTTATCAACGTTTCATTTTTAACTGGTTATGAGGACAGCTGGAAGGTTCAGCCAGTAACATCCAATCACATGTTTAAGAGACTATGCTGCTCACTTTGAAAGACGTGTTGTTTTTAATGACACACACATTTACATGAAACCTTGTTAGTCTAAGTGGAGGACTTACGGGAGCAGACTGATTTTTCCCAAATGTCTTGTAGGCCACTGAACAGCATGTAAACAAGCATCAGCCGATCACTGCGCAGTAGGCTGTCTCTGCAGCTCACATTGCCAGGACCCATCTGTAGCAACACAGGAAAAATCACTATAGCAAGACGATTTTTTATTTATGAGTAAGCCAAGCTCTTCAATGTATACATCTTTATTTCCTCCTAGTTAAAGTAAACATTTCAGCTTTCCAGAATACAGTTCTTTCTATCTGCAATTAACATGTTGGATATCTCAAACATTATTATTCCTTGAAAATGCATTACTTTTCTAATGTATTTGTACTAGACCTTCAACTGTATAAAATGTTAATTCCAGAACTAAAGCATGTTTTAGGGATATTTTGCACTGAAAGTCCAATTTATATGAGTGGGGTAAAGGAATGTCAGCAATGTTTCCATCTATGTAGAAAACACATTAATGATGAACCAGCCTGTTTTGTGCACTCAACAAAAACACATATGAAGCTGGTTTTACCCATTTTTATGGGTCTGTCTAGCTTTACACTGATCCTGTCTCCATCTGAGCAGAAACTGAGTAGGATCAGGGGGAAAAAGTTTAGATAATATTTTAGTCAAGCTAAACATGCTTTTTTTCTGGGAATACTCTCTATCACTTCATCCAGATTCTTCCTAAATGTATCTTTCTCCTCTACAGCACATCCAACCTGTGGAGCATAACCACTGACATTTAGAATGAGAACTTCTACTTCTACGTTCAGTTACATCACTCTATCTGACACTCTTTTCACCTCTACTACATTCTTTGCCAACTCCTCCTTCAGAACCACCCCTACTCCATTTCTCTTTCTATCCACACCATGGTAAACCAGTTAAAAATCTGCTCTGATGCTGCGAGCCTTGCTGCCCTTCCACTTGGTCTCTTGGATACATAAAACATCTACCTTCCTTCTCTGCATCATGTCAGACATCTCTCTACCTTTGCCTGTCATTGTCCCCACATTTCGAGTTGTAACCCTCAGTCCTACATCCTTGACTTTCCTCTTCTCCCTCTGTCTCCTGTCACATTTCCCTTTTTGTGGTCTTTGACAGTTTTGAAAGTTTCCAAACAGGCATGTCTTCAGAAATAAATGTTTTCTATCCTAATACCCTAATAATTTGGCAGTATGGCAGTCATTAGCACTGTTGCCTCACAGCAGGAAGGTCCTGCATTCAATCCCCGGGTTGTACCCCAGGGGGTCTTTCTGTGAGGAGTGAATGTTTGCATGAGTTTTCTCCGGGTACTCCGGTTTCCTCCGTCAGTCCAAAAACATGAATGTTAGGCTGCCTTAAGGTCCAGGCCTCCCTTGCACAACAGATCTGTGATCTCAGCGGGATTTGCCTGGTTAAATAAAAGGTTAATAAATAAATAAAATAATTTTATTTTAAATTAACCATTGTTCTCTCCAGGAAATCCCTTTGTATGTTTGGCATCATTGTGAAGTTTAGGCATTCCCCTTCTTAAATATAGGGCTGGAACTCCAGATGAGCTCATTGTAGACTAATAAAGATCTGGTTTTCAAATCGGCACTCTCGTAAACACAACTAGCTGCTATTGCTGGCCAGGTGACAAATCCACCAAATTTCAATAAACTACATATCAGTTGTACACACAAGTGATTTGCTCACTGCTCATTCCTTATTGTCATGGCATAGGTTTGTGCATTAAATGTTTGATACTTTTAAAAACTTCCTCAAAACTGACCCTATATATGGTTTAACAGTCTGCCTTAAATTCCCTACGTGGTTTTATTATTGAATGTGACTTTATGATTTTTATACGCCTGTCTTAAGATGATATTATGTTATGAAGCTGTCTGTCGTTCTGAACAATTTCTTGTCTGAGCACTAACTAGCTCCTTAGATAAATACCATTCTTAGTTGACTTTTTATGTATGTGAATGTTTCTGTGCCCTGAGACGACTTCTGCTGTGATTTGGCGCTATATAAATAAACTGAATTGAAATTGAATTAGACTGATAACTACCTGATAACTCATGGGATGATGTCAATAGAAATATCTTGTTTTATACGGCATCTTGATTTGACTGCGTTTATAACTCCTTTTATTTGATTTTAATTGCTTTTTGTTGAATTATTGTTGTCTGTACTTTATATTTTATCTATCAAAAAGAGGCCTCTCTGGAAAAATAGTCCTTGTGACTCAACGGGACTAACCTGTATAAATAAAAGTTGAATGAATCAGAATGGAGAATATTCTTGTGCAAATTTGAAATGTGTCCATTTGGAAAAACTGTTTATGCTTTAGTGTGTGTTGTAGAGTGCATTTGCTGAACTTGTGGTATGCTTGTGGATCTTGAACACTCATGTGAATACTTGACTTACTTATGTTTGTACAGATCAACTACAATAACTCAAACAGATTGAAACTGATAGCGAGACTGAAGCAAAAGTCGTGTTTCCTGAAATTTCACACACACACACACACACACACACACACACACAACTCGTGACTGAGCTAGTAGCTCATGACACTTTGTGTACGTACGTCAGACACTTTTATGAAAGCTCAATTGAGACACTTCAAAAACTAAATCATAGAAGATCCTCGTAACTTTGTAAAAAAAAAAAAAAAAACTCGCCTGGTTTGATGAGATGTTTGTGTAGATCTCGACAAGGCTGCCATAGCCGGAGAAGCAGTTCTGGCAGGCTTTAACGGGTCGAGCAGCAGGAACCAGGCAGTTCACATAATCTACGTACCGCCGACCGAACACGAGGAGCAGCTCGCTGCAGTACTCACTGATTTCCAAGTCTTCCGGGAAGGAAGAAAGCAAAGTCAAGGAGAACGTAGAGCCCAAAGCAGGCTTAAATACAGGAGGAGAGTTGGCAATGGGGACAGAGCCAGGAGGGCTCAGATTGGAAACTTGTTTCAGATCTGAGGCGGTCACGTTTACTGGGTCACTTACCGCGACACTGCAACAATTTAACACTAAAAGTACAAAAAACAGACCGTTTATCTGAAGCAACATGACGGAAAACTGAGTTTGTTGCAGTTTTGCTCTGGCTGCTAACACAAACAACTCATGACTTCCTTGTTTTCAACCAACGTGATCATGTGACTGAGCGAAATCTCGCGAGAATACGGTATAACGTGACCCTCCACGAGAACAGCCTAACGTTTAAACTGTATCAGTTAGTTTCATTCATAAAGTTCACTATATTTTCAAGCCTTTTTTTTTTTTTTTTTTTTTTTTAGATATTTAGGCTTTTAATATTTTGTTTAGGTTATTTTATAAACTGTTTTTCTTTTTTATTCTGATGATATTGGAAGCTAGCCTACTATGAAGAAAACAGTTCTGTCAAGTCATCTTAACCAGAAAAATGAACTTTTATTAAGCAATAAATGTATTATCACAACAGTTACAGTACACAGAACAGGCTGTATGAAGAGAAAATAATAAGGTTATTTGAATTTTGAAAATTATCTATAACCCAAATTATTTTTAGCTCCTCTTGCTGGCCTGCTGCCAGTTAACCTAATTAATTGCGAAATACTCCTTCAGTTGTTTCACATTTGAAACCACTTACTTTTACAGTATTTTGTTGTTCTTGTCTCAAGATACTGAGATAACTTTGTGCTATCATTTTTAATTTCTACTTGATTTATTTTTTTTATTTTTAATATTTGGAACAATGTCAGCATTTGATGTTTATTTCCATTGGGTTTATGCGATTTGCAAATCATTGCATTCTGTTTGTATTTACATTTTATGCATTGTCCCAAGATTTTTTTTTTGTTTGGAGTTCTATCCATCCATCCATCCATCCATCCATCCATTGGTCCCTACCTACAGCTTCAGTGAAGGGGAAGAGAGTATGTAATTGTACATGCCTGTTGGAAACAGATAGCCCTTCCTCCTGCTCTCCTCGTTATTTGCGAGTTCTTGACACCATACAATTTTGCAATGTGCACTCGGCACGGTGCAAATAATCACAGAGTCAAGGTAAACGATTTGGGCTCCAATCCTGATTGAGATAATTGTCAAAAAACCCTTGAATCAAGCAACTGCAGTCAATGGCCGTTAATGTGAAATTAGTGGCTCTTGATAACTTGCAGACCGCATCAATTCTGCAGTCATCAGAGCCTAATGAAAATAAGCGGTGAGAGGATGCTCGCTGCATCCACGGCCCATTCTGGTGCCTGCGTTTAACTCTTCTGATAATTCTGGCCCCTGATGCTCCCTTTGCTGCACATGACACCAGCAGCTCATTAACTCTTCTTCTCTTGACCAGAGTTCACCTAATTGTTCAGATGTTTCTCACTCCTTTATATTTCCTTGCATTGGTCTCATAAAAAGAAGTGATTGCAAAGTAACTCTTAATGGTCTTTGTGGTTTTATTGCAGTTTAGTTACACACCTCAGCTTTCACAAAACGTACAGTATAACTTTCAAAGACAGCACGGACAGAAACAGTTTGGTTGTTTTAGTTGTAGTATTTAAAATCTCTGCTAATTTTAAAGATTTACATGTCTTTTATTTTTTCAGTATTCATCAGGTCACCAAGCAGAAACTGACATTTGTCACTATTTGACATGAGCAATACGCCTTCATTAGCATGGAATAGATAAAGCGAGGACAAAAATCACTAATTAAGTCCATAAATTAGAGGGTGTGATGATGAGAGCTCTTCAGGGGCTCTGCCTACAAAGCTCTTCATGATTTAGAGCACAAAAAAGATGCCGCCATTGGTCACTTTAGAAGGAGACAGAAGACAGTAGCTAGAGAACCCAACAAGTCTCCAAATTCCAGGATTAAGAATATACATGCAAAAGAGGAACTATCTTTTACTGAATATTTATGAAAGAAAAAAGAAATTATTCAAAAGAAAACATTGAAATGCATTTAACATAAATAAATAACTTATTATAAGCGGAAGTATATGCACAATACAACTAAATGATGCCTTATACGTCACCCCCCAGCCCACCCCCAAATATACAAAAAGTATCAGAAGCAAAAGCTCAACTTAAGCAAGGGCATCAGAAGCATCTGTAATGTGTGTGTGTGTGTGTGTGGGGGGGGAGGTGTATGTACGAATGTACGCACCAATGTGCAAAAAAATGTACACTAGTGAACAAACAAGCAACATTTCACCTAGATTTCCTTACTTTAAATCCACACATTTAAAGCACATTTCTCACCATATTGTGCAAAGTGGTTTTTAAAGACATTTTAATTTTAATTTTAATGCACTTTAACACACAGCCTCAGATCAACACTATTTGTGCTATTGACCCTCCGTACCCAGGGCATGAAGTAGAACTAGGCACTTTCTTGCATCGGGCCAGCCGACCCCCGACGCTGCGATGATCACCAACACGTAGTTTTCAAACATTTTTAGCCATGTTGGAAATGCTATCGCTGGTTCCCCACGCCATGGCATGAATGGAGCAGTAAAGGCACAGAAATAGACATCCTAGTCGCCAACGTTGTGGTGTTGCAAGATTGAATTAATGGATAAATAAGCAGACACGTGAATCAGCTTCTGTACTTTCACTTTCTCTGTCACTCTGCATACAGCATCTTTTAAGATACAGGGTGTGTCCGCTGAATTGGGACACACCCACAGAGAAGAAACACTGCAAGCTGCTGAAATGGAGGTAACTAGGAAAACCTGGAGTGGATTCCTAGTGGTTTGAGTATTCTCCTATTAATCAAGTGGAATGGATATGTTCAAGAAGAAAGAGAAACTGCAGATTGAACTAATCTCCTGATGCATGCTCTAACTTGATGCATGCTTGAACTAATGTTTCAAGGTAAATGTGGGGGGCAGTGTTGCCAGGTGTACGATAATTATCGTATTTGTACGACAATTTTGCCCTCTGTACGATGTACGATCAATAATCCTAAAAAAGACCAAATATATGATCATTTGACCATTCCGTGAATGTGTGGTTGTAATCGGTTGTCATCAGCCTCTCGCAACTGTTTGTCCAAGTGTTTTTGTGAACCCTGAAGGCATCCGTGTCCGCAAACAGATGCACGATTCCAGTCATGCTTTTCTAAATGTTACCTACGAGTGACGTGTATGCGTTTACCTCAGAACAACGGCCATGATTGGCTGAATAGTCTGCTGCACCCGCCCCATGAGTGTGGAAAAGAAAAAAAGAAGAGAAGAAGAAGCAGAGCCAGTCTGGAAGCGGACCCATCACTACTATAGTGCATCAATAGATTTGTTATTTTGGTTATGACGGGTGTACAATAATTTCCCTCAAAATATGATAATTTTATGTCTCTAGTACGATAATCCTACATTTCTCACCTGGCAACACTGGTGGGGGGGGGGGGGTCCAAATGAATGTTATTTGAATTTTGGGAGGACACGTCCCCTTCACATATAATGGTTGCAACGCCTATGAATTTAAGTATCGGTAACATATGCATTTTGTTTTAAGTACAGTTTAAGAACACGACAATAACTGGAGCGTTAATGGAAGCATATTAAAGGAAACACAAGGTTTTCTGCTTTTGTACTCATTCTTTGATCTTTGTAATTTGGTGAGAATTTGGTTCATTAGTGAAAATGAAATTAGTAATTTTCTTGCTCAAAAAGAAACCCTTGGCCACACAAAGTGCCAATCACCGATTTCTAAAAAGTCTGACCTGCCGATTCCAATTTTGGCCGATATCGATTTTGTTTTATAAGCGACACTGTCAGGTGTTATAAGGTCACAATGCACCTTCAATTTTCTAATTTTATTTTATTGAAAAACATACAAGGGTGAGCAATATCCTAGAAACAAAACAAACTTGTTATGAAAATATAATTTAATTTAACATAATATATAAACTGGTGAGGAATGTATAAATACATATATATACATATATA